CTTCAGTCATTTCGGGCATTTCTGGAGATTTGAAAAAAGAAGAGATGCTCTGAAGAGATCGAGGAGGGAAAGGAAGATTCCAGAGATTCTACAACCAACCTCATCATCCTGCTGCCTCAATGTCTCAAGATTTTTGTGATCTTCTTTCTCTGTCTTGAGTTCGATTTGAGAAATTTGATCTGAGAAAGCTACTCCTCATCCGAATTAACATCACAAAAGTTCAAAATTTCTCCAAATCTCTCACTCATTGCTTCTCAGTCTCAGTGCCCTCGATAAATTCCCTGATCATGATGCTGGTTCCAGGAGGCAAAGCGGCGGCTCTCAGGTTCGAGTCTGGTAGCTGATGGTCTTTTTTCTTTTTCTAGGTTTTAATTCCTTGAGCAGTTCACGCTTTAGAGAAGTTTTGTGTAGCTATGCTTTTTACAAAAATGCTCTGCTTTAACACAACACAACTTAAAAAACATAGAACAACCAAAACAACAATCAACAATGATGACACCTCGAGCAGCTTTGAATTTTGAAGTTGGAGAAGTCAAAAAGGCTCTAGGAAAAATTGTTTACGCCGGGGGAGATAGATAGCTTTGAGAAACAATTGTGGCGATTTGATGAGAACGGTCGGTTCAGTTGACCTTCCCCGAAAGTAGTCTCCTGATAACTCCGCGTTTTCTCACTCACTAACTTCACACGAACTGACGGCTTTCTTTTTGCCGAAATGCTACTTTTTTTTGCACGAAGTTCTATTCGAAGCGATTCTTTCAACGGCTTAATGAGTCAATCGCTTTCCTAAACAATTTCAGAGCTCTCAAAAGCTCTTTTCCGTAAAAAAAACAATTCTTTATTCCATTCGTTCTTCCCATTTCCCCGAATTCAAAACGAATCAACCAATTCAGCAGAATGGGTGTGATGGCCGTCGGTCTATTCATCACGATTCTCCTCCTTTTCCATGAAATTTCATCGTCCATTCAACAAAGCGAGCAATTGGATCAATTCACGTATTCTTTTCCCTTCAAATAGCTATGTTTTCAACCATTCAGCTCTCCGAATGATCGAGATGAGATTCTGTCTGGTGATCGTCGTACTTTGAAGTTGGTTAGAAAGGGGTTTTTCGATGATCTTAGATTTCAGCAATAAAGAGGATTGTCCGGATACCGTCTGCTTGAGGTCTTGTCAAAGAAATTTGTGAGTTTCTTGGGAGAAAAGCGAAATTGATAGAATAAACAAGAAATAGGCTTGAGTGTCTCAATGACAAGACTTTTCAGGAATCAAGCCCAACAAGAACTCGTCGAGGCTCGAGGAAAAATCAGCGGACTCGAGAGGGAAATGTGGGTGAAATCAAAAATCTTCAAGAATTCAAGCTCATCTTTTTTGGATTTTGAGTAGTGAGTAATTTGAGTATTCAGCACAAGAGAGCGGAACGAAACGAAGGACAAAGACGTCGAGATGAGTCGATTGACAGCAAAAATGGCTCAAACTGAGGCGAATTTAATGGGGAAAATCGCCGAGACGAAAAGGAAGAACGACGATCTCGAAGCAGAATTGTACTAATTTTGTCACTTTCTTTTTTGACAAGCTCAATATATAGTTGGAATGCAAACTTTTTTCAGAAGAACTCAAAATACGGAAGTGAGAGATGGAAAGGCCAAGATTGGAGAGCTTGAAGGGAAAATCAACGCGTTGCAGACCAAGAACTCTGGCCAGGAGACCCAAATGTGAGTCTATTTGGTATCTCTTGTGGACTGCGACTTGAGAAAACAGTTTTTTGACTCCCAAAACACCCATCCTACTCAATCCCATCAACTCCCCTCTTAACAATTTGAAAGACAAAACAAAATGGCCGAAATCAAGAGGTTGCGGGCAGATTCATGCGTTTTTTTAAGGAAATAGGTTGAGTATTTGTCTAAAGGATCTGGACTAATGTTTTCCGAAGAAATTCAGAAATCGAACCATGCATCTCTTGGATCTGTTTCGGGATGGATGGTCGTATTTGGCAAAAACCGCTTCTTTGTACAAGGTTTGGTGGATGTTGTGAACCAGGATTATCTTCAACTCGAGGTTCCCAATCAAAAAATGACATTCGATGAAGCCGTGGCATATTGTGCGAGTCGAGAGAGCCATCTAGTCTCCATTCACAGTCAGGAAGAGCACGATTTTGTTTGGAAACTCGGTAAGAAATCGAAATGATTTAATTCTGAAAATTCATGATTTTCGTAGAAATTTATGCTTTATAAACCAAAAACAATCGATATTTATTTCAGCGAAAACTGTTTCTTGGTATGATTGGTTCTGGATCGGACTGAAGGTTGAATTTCTCTTATTGAAAGACATAAATAAATATATAGAAACAAATGATTCTTTCAGCCATTTCCGGAAGGCTTTTTGTGAAAAATCTATTCGTTTGATTGATAGTTCTTTAATAGAAATAATGCTTTCAATTGACAAACTAGAATGTTTCTAAAATGAAAAAAATTTGGTTGACATATCAACAGTGAAACATAAAAATTTCTTTATTCAGAGAAATCCGGACAAAGGAAATGCTTTTGAATGGACGGATGGTAGTTCGGTGGATTTCACGAATTGGAGGGTTGAGGAGCCGGGTTCGAACACCCACGCTTATGTGAGATTTTCGACGTGAAATAATCAATATTTATTCCAATTTGCAATGCATAATTAATCCAAAAACATTTCGATCAATCTGCGAAAATTTCTTTTTCCGGAATGACGCAGAGTGTTTTATCAAAAGATTTCCATCAGAAATGAACACATTTCAGCTTCATAGCTTCGATGGGATATGGCGGGCCTATTATCCTACCGATCAGTCTTATTTTATCTGCAAAAGGAGCTTTCAATTCTGATAAATATGTTCCTTTCTGTGAACAAAAACGAATAAATCCCATTTTATTCAATCTTCTGAAAACACACAACTGCACATTATCTTTTTCTTCATTTCTGAATTGTTTCTTCGAAATCTCATATATAAAGTTTTCCCAGAAACCCAGAATTCCGCCTGAAGCTGCAAGTATTTTGCTCTCTCGTCGCTCCTGAATGGACTGTTAGATGAATGTGTCTCACATCAATGGACATCAGCATGAGCAAACTGACAATTCTTCGTGAAGGTCGCTCTTCTCATCCCTCGACTCGTCGATTTGCCTTTGATTTTTGTTCTCTCTTGTTGTTCTCACCGTTAGTTCTATAGGCGGAGATTTTTGTTTTTTTTTTGGGTAATTTTAACGATAAAGCAGGTAGATAATGTATGTATGTATTGTAGATATAATGAGCTGTATATGTCTTTATAGTCAAAAACCGAATGAAATCCCATTTTCAGACGAAATTTGTTTGAGGAAATCACTTAGCTATGTACATATTAGTGATATTGTACATTATGCTCTTCCAACAACTCTGTTCCATTCACAGACAAACCTGACTAATTGATTTTAACAAAGATCCTTTTTCCATCCAAGGAGTCCCTATTAGTCCAAATTAATTAGAATACGGCATAGATCGAAAGCTCGGCGTTCCGTGGTTCGATCGGGAGGCGATCAATTTGTTATCGTTTTCCAGATTAGCTCAAGTGCCTAAAGATTAGGAACAATTCCAAATAGAGCAAAGTTTTGATGGAGATCACAAAAGAGAGAAACCCGTGTGGGTTTGAATGAGAACTTTATTATTGTGGGCAAACAATGATCATCAATCACTTTCTTTAGAAGTCGCCATTCGTGAAGTATCCCGAATCGACGCTGTGCTTTTCTCAAGTCTCAGTCGACAGGAGATAGATTCTAATATCGTGGAACCCACAATTCGGCCTTCAATGCGGAGATGGTCCTTGACATTTCGGCGACTTTGGATTCTCTAGAAGTGTTTCATCCTGAGGTATTTCTTTAAAGGATCTCAAGATTTTGTTTGTGCGATTCGATTTGATATCTAAATGTTGCCAGTGGGTCGAGAACGGGGAACGCGCTCGGAACGCATTTCCACTAGTTGATCTCTTGACGTGTCAACCCACTTGAATCGGGAAGCGCGGAACTGATTTTCTCCGGCACCCACGTCGAAATGATGCTAAATGGTTCGGTGATCTTGATAGATTCTCTCCCAACTTTCACATAAACGGAGTTTTGGGGATTATCCCTCAGTGTTTGGTGAACTCCGGCTTCCTTCCAACTCTCGGTCGAATGTGACCCATTTGATCGCCGGGACGTTTGTCCGGGTACAACAGATCTCGAGTGGATCTAAATTTGATATGGTTGTTGCTACATACAATTTGTATGTACGTATGGTTCCTACGATCTCCAAACTTACATGGGTCTCCAACCAGCCAGCGGGCAAAGCGAACGATAGTGTGCTTTGCCCCCTGGTTAAAAGAGTTGTAATTGTAATTTGTTTGTAATTTGCCTAAGAGCTGCGACTTCAGTTACCTGCTTATAGTCGCCTGCCTATTTTGAGCCTGAGCTAGGCTACATAGCTTACTTCTACATTTCTTGGTAGAAGTTACTTTGAAACCTACACTTCTTCTAAAGACGGACGACCATCACACCCATTCCGCTGAATTGGTTGATTCGTTTGAATTCGGGGAAATGGGAAGAACGAATGAGGCTACGATGCGATAAACAATTGTTTTTTAAGGAAAAGAGCTACAAAACCAACAGTGAGTGGAGAGAAAGCATAAATCGAATTATTCAGAACTTCAGGAACAAAAATCGAAGACAAATCGACGAGTTGAGGGGCGAGAAGGGCGGCCTTCACGAAGAATTGTCAGTTTCCTCATGCTGATGTCCATTCATGTTCAACACGTTTATCTAATAGTCTATTCAGGAGCGACGAGAGAGCAAAATACTTGCAGCTTCAGGAGGAATTTTGGGCTTTTGGGAAACCCTTTTTAGATGAGATTTTGAACAAACAATTCAGAAATAAAGAAAAAGATAATGTGCAGTTGTGTGTTTTCAGAAGATGAATAAGATGGGATTTGTTGGTTTTTGTCCACAGAAAAGAACAAAAAGCATTTATCAGAATTGAGAGCTCCTTTTGCAGATAAAGCGAAACTGATAGGTAGGAGAATATGCCACCCATTTCCCATGGTGGCTCCGAAGCTGAAATTTGTTCATTTCTCATGCAAGTCCTTTGATAAAACAATTTGCTTTTTCTTTTTTTTTTCATTCCTCAAAAAAAAATTCCTCAAATTGATCGAAATATTTCTTGATCAGTTATGCATTGCAAATTCGAATAAATATTGATGATTTCACGTTGAAAATCTCACCGCAGCGTGGGGGTTCGAATCCGGCTCTCCAACCTTCCAATTCGTGAAATCCACCGAATTTCCATCCGTCCATTCAAAAGCATTTTCTTTGTTCGGATTTCTCTGAATAAAGAAATTTCTATTCTTAACATTGATATTTCTATGCGATTTTCCTTCACAGAGAGCCTTCCGAAAATGTATTTACTTTGTATTTATTTATTTATTTATGTCTTTCAATAAGAAAATTCAACCTTCAGTCCGATCCAGAACGAATGATCCGAATCAACAGTTTTCGCTGAAATAAATATCGCTTGTCTTTGGTTTATAAAGCATAAATTTTCTACGAAAATCATGAATTTTCATAACTGAATCATTTCGATTTCTTACCGAGTTTCTGAACAAAATCGTGCTCTTCTTGACTGTGAATTGAGACTAAATGGCTCTTTCGACTCGCACAATATGCCTCGGCCACATCAAATGAAATTCTTTGATCGATAACCTTGAGATGCAGATAATCCTGGTTCACAACATCCACCAAACCCTGTACCAAGAAGCGGTTTTGGCCAAATACGACCATCCATCCGGATCCAAGAAAGTGATCGTCCGATTTCTGAAAAAACTGTGTTCTTAAGTCTCAGTCGACAAGAGACACCAAATAAATTCACATTTGGGTTTCAAAGGCAGAGATTTTGCTCTCCAATGCGTTGATTTTCCCTTCGAGCTCTCCAATCTTGGCTTTTCCGTCTCTCACTTCCGTATTTTGAGAACTTCTGAAAAAAGTACGCATTTTGACTATATATGTCAAAGCTTGTCAAAAAAGGTTGTCAAGATCCAAGTCATCGTTCGATTTCTGAATTTCTTTGAAAAATTTTACTTCAGACTTTTTAAATAAATACTCAATCCTTTTTTTAAATGAAACTCACAAATCTGCCCACAACTTCACAATTTCGGCCCTCTTGTTTTCTCTTTCAAATTGTCTAGAGCGAAATTAATTGGATTGAGTGGAATGGATGTTCTGGGAGTCAAAAAAAACTGTTTGCCCCAGTCTCAATCGACAAGAGATATCGACTCAATCGACAATGAACTTACATTTGGATTTCGAGGTCAGAGTTCTTGCTCTGCAACGCGTTGATTTTCCCTTCGAGCTCTCCACTCTTGGCTTTTCCGTCTCTCTCTTCCGTATTTTGAGTTCTTCTGAAAAAAGTTCGGATTTTTGCTATATATTGAGCTTGTCAAAAAGAAAATTACAAAATTAGTACAATTGTGCTTCGAGATCGTCGTTCTTCCTTTTCGTCTCGGCGATTTTCCCCATTAAATTCGCCTCGATTTGAGCCATTTTCGTGGAGATGGTCCTTGAGATTTCGGCGACTTTGGAATCTCTAAAAGTGTCTCATCCTCAGATATTTCTTTAAGGGATCTCAAGACTCACATCTCGGCTTTCAAATCAGCACCAATCTTCGTCGATCGATCATCGTTTTGAGAGATTTTCGAGTTCATCTTCGTGAATTCATCATTTCCCGCTTTCTGTTCACATTCACTGAAAAAGATGAGCTTGAATTCTTCAAGATTTGTTCATTTCACCCACATTTCCGTCTCGAGACCGCAGATTTTTGCTCGAGCCTCGACGAGTTTAGATTCGGTTTGATTCCTAAAAAGTCTCGCCATTGAGACACTCAAGCCTATTTATTGTTTATTCTATCAATTTCGCTTTTCTCCCAAAAAACCAACAGATTTCTTTGACAAGATCTCAAGAGAACGGTGTCCGGACAATCCTTTTTATTGCTGAAATCTAAGATCATCGAAAAATCTCTTTCTGACCAACTTCAAAGTACGACGATCACGAATCTCATCTCGATCATTCGGAGAGCTGAATGGTTGAAAACATAGCTATTTGAAGGGAAAAGAATACGTGAATTGATCCAATTGCTCGCTTTGTTGAATGGACGATGAAATTTGATGGAAAAGGAGGAGAATCGTGATGAATAGACCGACGGCCATCACACCCATTCTGCTGAATTGGTTGATTCGTTTTGAATTCGGGGAAATGGGAAGAACGAATGGAATAAAGAATTGTTTTTTTTACGGAAAAGAGCTTTTGAGAGCTCTGAAATTGTTTAGGAAAGCGATTGACTCATTAAGCCGTTGAAAGAATCGCTTCGAATAGAACTTCGTGCAAAAAAAAGTAGCATTTCGGAAAAAAGAAAGCCGTCAGTTCGTGTGAAGTTAGTGAGTGAGAAAACGCGGAGTTATCAGGAGACTACTTTCGGGGAAGGTCAACTGAACCGACCGTTCTCATCAAATCGCCACAATTGTTTCTCAAAGCTATCTATCTCCCCCGGCGTAAACAATTTTTCCTAGAGCCTTTTTGACTTCTCCAACTTCAAAATTCAAAATCGAAAAATCTCTTTCTGACCAACTTCAAAGTACGACGATCACGAATCTCATCTCGATCATTCGGAGATCTGAATGGTTGAAAACATAGCTATTTGAAGGGAAAAGAATACGCGGATGGATCCAATTGCTCGCTTTGTTGAATGGACGATGAAATTTGACGGAAAAGGAGGATAATCGTGATGGATAGACGGACGGCTATCACACCCGTTCCGATCATTTGGTTGATTCGTTTTGAATTCGGGGAAATGGGAAGAACGAATGAGGCGACGATGCGATAAACAATTGTTTTTTTCACGGAAAAGAGCTCTTGAGAGCTTTGCAATTGTTTAGAAAAGCGATCGCCTTCCAACCGACGATTGACTCATTAAGCCGTTGAAACAATCGCTTCGAATAGAATGTCTAAAAAATTGGGAGTAAAGTTTTTCGAAGAAATTCAGAAATCACAACTCAACATTCAATATAGATAAAAATCGAACTGTTTTTAGAAGAACTCAAGATACCTTTTTCAGTCAACGTGAACAAAAGGAAAGAAATGACGATGAATTCACGAAGATCAACTCGAAAATCTCGCAAAGTGATGATCGATCGACGAAGATTGATGCTGATTTGAAAGAGATGTGAGTCTTGAGATCCCTTAAAGAAATATCTCAGGATGAGACACTTCTAGAGATTCCCAGTCGCCGAAACGTTAAGGAAAATGGTGGAATTGGAAGCAGATTTGTGGGTTTAACGATATTAGAATCTTACTATTTCCTGTCGACAGAGATTTGAGAAACCATCTCCACGAAAATGGCCCAAATTGAGGCGGATTTAATGGGGAAAATCACGAAGTTGGAGGCTGATTTGGTGGAGGACTGATTTGGCTGAAAAGCCGAGGTTGGAGAGCTAGACGGAAAAAGCAGAGCCAAATCTCTGGCTTTGAAACCCAAATGTGAGTTTATTTGGTATCTCTTGTCGACCGAGCTTTGAGAAAAGAGCTTTTTTTTTACACCCAGAGAAACACACAAGAGAAACACCCATTCCACTCAATCCAATCAATTTCTCTCTAGACAATTTGAAAGAATCAAAACGGCCAAAATGGTGAGGTTGCGGGCAGATTTGTAAGTTTGTTTTATGGATAAGGAAGTAGTATTTGTCTGAAAAATCTGGAATAAAGTTTTTCGAAGAAATTCAGAAATCGAACAATGACTTTCTTGGAACGGGATGGATGGTCGTATTTGGCAAAAACCGCTTCTTGGTACAAGGTTTGGTGGATGTTGTGAACCCGGATTATCTTCATCTCAAGGTTATCGATCTAGAAATGTCATTTGATGAAGCCGAGGCATATTGTGCGAGTCGAAAGATCCATTTAGTCGCAATTCACAGCCCCAAAGAGAATGAACACTCTAATATAATGTGATCAGTTCCATTCAATTTTCCGTTTTAAATTTAATCGAGATTACAAAATACAACAGTTAATTTATAGTGAACGAACTTTACACAAATCAGGGAATTTTTAAAAGGCGGAGGTAATTTATCGAGTTCAAGAAGAAGATCAAGAAGCTGGCAGACTTAGGAGATTTTTATATAAAGTAAATATGATGGTTACTCAATTTGGAATAAACCTTTCAAAAAAAATGTCTAATCATCACTGTCAATCACTGAAAGAATCGATTCAACCGTCAATTGTAGCACAGAATACGATGAATACGATTGACCGGAGCCGATATCGAGAGCAAAGTAAAGAAAACGATTTGAATCGAGTTTTTTCTTGAAAATTGGCGGTTGCTTCCAAAAAATATTCAAAGAACGTTCAATTTCATTGGTGTCGGTCCAGAATAATTTGGTGTTCCTCTTCGCGATTAGCAACGACAAGATTTCTCCTTCACTTGAATCATTCTCAATCTGTTGAATCCTCACTCGATCCCTGAAAAAGGCTTTTATCTTCTCCATTTTTCTTCAATCTTAGAATTGCATGTTGAAAATTAGAGGAGACAGTTTTTGCCCGACTCGGAATGCCACGATCAAGAACGAAGCGAAAGGATTCTAAAAGCTCGTCGAATTCCGAATCTAACATTTTATAATAGTTGAAGACAATTGTTTGTAACTCGTTTCTCCAAAACCTCTCATAAAACTTGCTCAACGATCCGGGGATATTAATTTTCTTACCTGATCGAAGATTTTCGGAGAGAAAGTCACTCATAAACTCCAAATTCCAAATCGACCAATGGATCTCGAATTTATTGCTCACTTGTGGAAACGCTTTTGAAAAGGCCCTCTTAAAAACTACCGGTGAATTGATGCATAAGATCGGCAAAAAAACCGAGTGTCGGCATAAAGTCGAGCATTTTATGAGTACAATTTAATGGATTATTTGAAGGATCCGAGAAAAAGGTCATAAATCAAAAAGTAGCGCAAGAGATTTTGCGCAAGAAAATAACGACAAATTGCCTCAGAGCACGGGAACTTTTCTCCGTGGTGTTTCGGAAAGATATTGGGAGATAAGGAAGCTGTTTCGATCGAGTCCCCGACGAGCCTCGTCGAATTTGTGACTGCAATTTTCAGTAAGACGCCCGCATCCCTGGACCAAGGTGAGCTTTCAATCCAAGGGTCGGAGATCCTTGTTGTTCGCCAGCACTTGTTACAAAGTCTCTTTGGAAGCGTCAAAAGTTTCAGTCTCTATATTTATGGCTGACACAAACATACATATTGAATATCATTCAATTTGCCATTCATGATGAAATCGCCAAAAACGCGGCTCTGAAATAAAATTGAAAAGGCAGCTTCAACTGAAACGTTTTTATAAACTTGTAGAGTAAAAATTTCTAGATAAAAATACACTGGCAAGAAGGATACAACTCGATCCAATGTCCGGCAATCAATGTGGGAAGGATTTTAAGAATCTCAAAACCCGAAACTCACATAAAGTCATCTGCTCATCTTTTGCCTCCACGTGCCAACGACTACACGGCTCCCGGAAATCCCCTCGAGAAATTGTGAGTCGATTCGTGAAATTGCATGAACATCAATCACCCTAACAACCCTTTCACAATGCTCTTCTCCAGTTTGCCAAAACATTTGTCTGAAACCTTAGAAAAATGGAATTTCTTTCGACCATTCGCAGAGTGATCAAGCCAAGTTTTGTCGATCATCTCAAGAAGAATCCGGCTCCAATTGGTGGTAGAGTGCCACCGGATGGCCAGCGAACCTTCAAGAATAGTGACATCGAATACAGCCGTCAACTGCCCGAGAATCCTGGATATCGTTATGTGAGGTTTGTTTGAATGTTGGAAAGCCTTAGCTTATCTATTCAATCTAGTCATCTATCGGGTTCCGGACATCGTGACGATCGCATAGAGCGTCTCGGATTCAAAGCGGATGGTCGTCCTGAAGTGATGCCCGTCAAGTCCGAGCACATCTATCGACATTCGGATTTGGAAACACGGGGACAGGCACCGGTTAAGTGAGTTCTCCAATTCTTTTAACCAGGGGCAAAGTACAATATCGTTTGCTCGGCCCGCTGGCTGGTTCGGAGACCCATGAAAGTTTGAAAACCCGCTGATGGGTTGGGATTGAGTTGGGTTGGATTATCAATAGGGGTAGGGTTTTTAGATATTTCCCAATAAAGTCACATATTTGCAAGCATTTTCCTGAGCATACAATATGCCTTAGACATCATCGAAGGCCATAAGCTCATAGACAAGCTTCAACCAAAGCAAGAGTCTTTGTCAATAATAATTCACAAATTTGTGTGCCTCTTTTCGATCTCTAACCGTTTTACTCTTAAGAATTAAAGAATATTGAATGAAGTTTTACAACGTCTGTGGAACACATATGATAATACGAACTAACGATTTTATTTTTCCTGAAATGACACTTTTTTTTTGTTCGAATTTCTATTCGAAACGATTGTTTCAAAGGCTTAATGAGTGAATCGTCGTTTGGAAGGCGATTGCTTATCTAAACAATTGCAAAGCTCTCAAAAGCTCTTTTCCGTCAAAAAAAAATTATTTATCGCATCGTCGAATTTTTAACTATTTCAGGAACAAAAATCAAAGACAAATCGATGAGTTGAGGGACGAGAAGAGCGACGAGAGAGCAAAATGCTTGCAGCTTTAGGCGGAATTTTGGGTTTTTGGGAAAACTTTTATGAGATTTTGAAGAAACAATTCAGAAATAAAGAAAAAGATAATGTGCAGTTGAGTGTTTTCAGAAGATTGAATAAAAGGGGATTTATTGGTTTTTGTCCATAGAAAGGAATATAAAGAATTCATCAGAATTGAGAGCTCCTTTTGCAGATAAAAGGATGCTGCTTGGTAGGAGTATAGGCTCCCCATTTCCCAACGTCGCTCCAAAGCTGAAATGTGTTCATTTCTGATGGAAATCCTTCGATAAAACACTTTGCATTATCTCATAAAAAGAAATTTCCTCAAAGTGAGCCAAATATTTTTGGATTAGTTATGCATTGGAAATTGGAATAAATAACGATGACTTCACGTTGAAAATCTCACATAAACGTAGGTGCTCGAATTCGGGTGTCTGAATCTCCAATTCATGAAATCCACCGAACTTCCATCCGTCCATTCCAAAGCATTTTCTTTGTTCGGATTTCTCTGAATAAAGAAATTTTTATGTTCAGACATTAATATTCCGACACGATTTTCCTTTCTTATTATTGAAATTATTTTCCAAGTGAAACTAGAATCAAGAAAAAGAAAAGAAAAAAAGTTTCACTGTTGCTATTTCAACCAAATTTTTTTTTAAATTTAAAACTATTCTAGTTTTTCAATTCAAATTAGATTTATATCAATTTCCATCAAAGAATTATCAGTCAAAGGGATCATTTTTTCACAAAGAGCCTTCCGAAAATAACTGAAAGAATCATTACTTTCTATTTATTTATGTCTTTCGATAAGAAAAATTCAACCTTCAATCCGATCCAGAACCGATCCCCCGAGGTATCTCGAAACAAAATACCCTTCGGCAAAACATTTTTCGCTGAAATAAATATCGATTGTTTTTGGTTTATAAAGGATAAATTGTTACGAAAATCATGAATTCCAGAATTGAATCATTTCGATTTCTTACCGAGTTTCCGAACAAGATCGTTCTCTTCCTGACTGTGAATTGAGACTAGATGGCTCTTTCGACTCGCACAATATGCCTCGGCTTCATCGAATGTCATTTCTTGATCGTTAACCTTGAGATGAAGATAATCCTGGTTCACAACATCCACCAAACCCTGTACCAAGAAGCGGTTTTAGCCAAATACGACCATCCATCCAGATCCAAGAAAGTCATCGTCCGATTTCTGAATTTCTTCGAAAAACTTTACTTCAGATTTTTTAGACAAATCCTTTTCCTTAAGAAAACTCACAAATCTGCCTGCAACTTCACCATTACGGCCGTTTTGTTTTCCCTTTCAAATTGTCTAGAGACGAATTAGATTGAGTGGAGAACCGAACCGAAAAAATGGGAGTTCTAGGGGCCAAAAAAAACTGTTTTATCAAGTCTCAGTCGACCGGAGATAGATTCTAATATTGTTGAACCCACAATTCGGCCTTCAACGCGGAGATGGTCCTTGACATTTCGGCGACTTTGGAATCTCTAGAAGTGTCTCATCCTCAGATATTTCTTTAAGGGATCTCAAGACTCACATCACTTTCAAATCAGCACCAATCTTCGTCGATCGATCATCACTTTTCGAGATTTTCGAGTTGATCTTCGTGAATTCATCAATTCTTTCCTTTTGTTCACATTCACTGAAAAAGATGAGCTTAAATTCTTCAAGTTTTCTTGATTTCACCCACATTTCCGTCTTTTTAAACAAATACTCAATCCTTTTCCTTAAAAAAACCTATAAATCTTCCTGCAACTTCGTGATTTCGACCGTTTTGATTCTTTCAAATTGTCTAGAAAGGAGTTGATTGGATTAAGTGGAATGGGTGTTTTGAGAGTGAAAAAACTGTTTTCTCAAGTCTAAGTCGACAAGAGATACCAAATAAACTCACATTTGGGTTTCGAGGTCAGAGTTTTTGCCCTGCAACGCTTTGATTTTCCCTTCGAGCTCTCCAATCTTGACTTTTCCGTCTCTCACTTCCGTATTTTGTGATCTTGTAAAAAAGTCCTATATTTATCTATATTTTAGTTTGAGCCTCTCTAAAAGAAAATGAGTACAATTGTGCTTCGAGATCGTCGTTCTCCCTTTTCGTCTCGCCGATTTTCCTTTCCAATTCTCGATTTCTCTCCCTTCCGTCAACCAAATCAGCCTCCAACTTCGCGTTTCCCCCCATTAAATACTCCTTGATTTGAGCCATTTTTGCTGTCAATTCACTCATCTCCTTCTTCATTTCTTCTCTAAACTCTTCAATTGAATTAAAGACTGTTTTTGATAGAAGCAAAGATTTGGCGAAAAAACCACAGATCGGCTTCGGGTTGGGGATTCGAGAGATCGTCCATTTCGGTTGCTAGACGATTGGATGCCTACAAAATGACTGAATTTTCTCGAAAAACCAGTGAAAAATAAAGGAAAAGGCTATTAAATAAGCAGAAGTAATGGGAAAGGAAAAAACAATCAAGAAATTTGTTGCGAAGCAAAATAGGGATTTCTTATCACGGAAAATAAATGGAAAGGAGGGGAAAGCCCGATTTGTTTAGTCATCAGTTGTCAACCAAAAACAATCAATATTCATTTCAGCGAAAACTGAAAACGAAAACGGCTACAAAACAACAATGATTTGGGCCAAGAAATAGAATGAGAACACTCATTTTCTCAACAATTTACCTATATTCAGAGTACCATGATTAGAGAACTTTTATTAGTGGCTATTCCCCACAGTTATGCCTTTAGTTTACTTTTATTTTTGAAAAGAAAAAAAAGGGAAATTTCCTCAAATTGATAGAAACATGTTTGAGTTAACTATGCATGGGAAACAAATAGATGAATAAATATCGATGATTTCGGATTTCCGTGATGATTTCACCTTTTTCCAGAATAAACCGAACTTTTGTGCAAATAACTTCAATAATCTCAGCCTTCCATTCATGTTCAAAAGTTTTAATTTTGTTTTATTATTTAACTTTGAATACCCACCTTCATCTTTCAACGAGCCTAACACCTCACTTGCCAGTTTTTAACCGAGTTTGCATTTGCCAACGAAAGAATTGATATGCTTTTGAATAGGTGGAGTCTAGATTCTTTAAGTTTACATTGATCTCCAATTGAACCCAACAACTTTTTGATAAGATACTTAAAAACATTGGAGTGGTTCATTTTGAATCTATCATTGTAGGCATCTAAATTGTGGAAAATGAATTGAATTGATCTCGAAAAGCTACCTTCTTGGCCAATTTATATTCCAGATCGGTTGGATTGAAAAAGTGATACCCGGCGGTCTTCTTTTGCACAACTATCGGTCCTTTGAACGTAAATTGAGCCAAAAGTAAAATCGATTTTGGTTTGATGAGTGGATCCTCGTCGTCGTCCTCCTCCTCATCGTTCTTCCTCGACTTGTTGAAGCTAGAAAAGTAAGGCTATTTGAATTTGAAAGTAAACTTATCGTTAGTAAGAGCTAATGCTCAAAAACACTATACACTTACATCCAGATCAAGCCGAGCTCATCGTTTTCATCTTTTTCGACTAGATCCTGAGTTTTCTCTCGAATTGCCTTTGCTTCCGAAGTTCCCAGCGATTCATCTAAAAACGTTCTTTTATAAGACGCCTAGTATTGTTATTATTATATAGAAGAATTCTGCCGGAAGAGATTCTCTTTCATCATTGCCGAACCCTGAAGCATCACAGGAATGACATGCCCCAGATCATCTATAACTTTTCACATTTTTAAAACTGGTGAAGAAAAACTACCCGGCGTATCGTTTTCTCCACGTTTGTTTATTGTAGCGGGAGACCCTTTGTTTCCTGAATTGTGGAAGCTTCTTATTGTGAAGGTTATGAGTATTTGCCTTGTTCGAGTTCAAGAAGTTCTTTATTCTTGAATCCGGCATAACGTATGGCCAATTTGCAACGTTTACTATCGATGTTTCCTGGAAAGTAGCCTCCATCATCATCAGATTCTGCTTGCTCGAGGTACTGAAATTGTCATCAAATGTTTTGAATTGTAATGAATACATTCACTCAAATCGACTCACCCAGATTCGCATTTTTGCACTCGGGATGTCTTGATGATGCACTGAAAATAGCCGTATTAATATGGAGATATTATAATTATTGAGTTATGATTAATTTCAGAGAAAAAATCTGAAAACTTTTAAGGAACTAAAGGACGAGTTTCGAAAATGCGAATAAAAGGCTTTTATATCGTTGAGGGAAAAGCCTTCGAGAACGTGTACGAGCGAGGCCGTAGGACGGCCAAGATGTGAGGGAAATCGATGATTGGTTGAAAGGGAAAATCTTTTGGGTGAGCTTGTCATCGATTGGGAATGCTGGTTGTGAGAATATAGACCTTGAAGAAACTTTTACCTCATTCTCAAATACTCCGATTAAGGCGATCCAAAGGACTACATGGTTATTGTACGATATTAGAGCTATCCCCGTCGGAGTCGATATCTTGACAAAGTTTAGCTAATCTTCCCTCCAATCTTGCAATATTCAGCTTGAATCGACCACTCTCAGCAGCTTCTCCTTTGCAGAAACAAACAATCTGATCATCCTCGCTGTTGGACTCCTTGTTGTTTTGGCCTCCTCGACTGCGCGAAATTTAAGCAATCGCCCTCCTCCTTTTAACCGCTTCGCTTCTTCCGATTCCTTTTGCAGCGACTCCTCTTTTGCCGTCCAGTCTCGAATCATCTTTGGAGTCACATTAAACTGTTTTCGAGTTTTTTTCGAGCCTTTTTCGAGTTTTTCTTTGAAAAACGAATGGCCTCGAGTTTCAAGGCGGCTTTCCTTTAAAGGCTTTCCGTTTCCTAGCACCACCCATCACCTAAAAAAATGATACTTTTTCGTTATACCTCCGCCAACTCCACATTTCCGTTATACCCCGCCAGTTTTTAGTTAAAAATGATCAGATAATCAATTAATTAAAAATAATCAGAGTCGTTAATCAGATTAATTAAAAATTGTCGTTTACGGCTGCTGTTGGAAAAGTGTGCTTTTGGAGGAAATGCTTGAATTCCTTCTCGATCTCCTTCAAATAAATAATAAATAAAATATTCTCCATAGTGCGGCTTTTGTGTTTTCTAGGTTTCAAGACATGCTCTTTCCAATAGAAAAGGAATAATAGTTGCAGCGTTGTTCAAAATGCAGAATCTTTAATTAATAGTGGGTGCGGCTAAAAATTGGAACGTACTGTATATTGTAATGGAGATTTTATATAGATTAATGAAGCTATTTCATTTTATCGTTACGGGCCTAGGACAGCTGAAGGAAGCCGACGCCTTTCCTCCATGGAGCATCGTTTTCTCCGCTATTCTCAGCTAAATCTGGTAAATCTTATTCATCATATCAAATTGGAGGGGAATTACAATCGATGAATCGAATGGGCGACAACAACAATCGGAAACAGAGATAGTGCAGTGATAAATCAAACATTTTTTGTGTATTTGTTAGTGAGGGGTGAAATCCGCTTAGAAGTTCATAGCTTAGAAGTTAAAAGTTTCTAACAGGATCTGCTATAAAAGTGTCTTAACACAAGCTCCTGGATGTGACTCATGCTCACTGCCAAAAATTAGTGTTAAAGAAAGCCAATGTTCATTGAAAGACAGTAAGAGAGTAACTTTTTCTCAAATTTAACTTTTGAAAATGTTTTACTTGGGAGAAACCCACTGTGAGATACAAGAATTTGTTCAAAAGAGCACCTGGGAGATAATGTGAAGAAAATGTAGGCCAAAATGCGAATTTCTAACATTTGGCTGTAAATTTGAGCTGTAAGAGCGTATGCTTGTCAAAAAAATGCGCTGACTATAAAGTCCGGCAAATATTTCTAGCGTTTGTGTCTAAATTCTTATTGAACTACTTCACCTTTTCCTTTGGAAAGACTATAGGGAATTTCAAGTGGCTTTTCGACTTTCTAAGCTTTTCTCTACACATAGAAATGAGTGTGAAAAATCACAGAATACTCATTTTGAAGGAAAACTCATTTTTGAAAGCAAAAACCACAAGAAAAAAACTTTGCGCGAAATCCACGGAACTTCCATCCATCCATTCAAAAGCATTTCCTTTGTTCGGATTTCTCTGAATAAAGAAATTTCTATGTTTTACTGTTGATATTTCAACCAATTTTTTTTACCATTTCAACTCAAACTATTTAAAACATTTTAAAACTATTCTAGTCTTTCAATTCAAACTATGATTTCTATCCGATTTTCTTTTCTAATTATTGAAATCATTCTGGTTTCCCAATCGAAACCATTATTTCTCTCAAAGAACTATCAGTCAAACGAATCTTTTTTTACAAAGAACCTTCCGAAAATGGCTGAAAGGATCTGAAAAAATGACTGAAGAATTAATTTTAATATATTTATCTAGGTCTTTCGATAAGAAAAATTCAACCTTCAGTCCGATCCAGCACCAACCATATGAAGAAACAACAAAAATAATGTCTTCTGAAGACTATCGAATGTCTTCTGATCTTCCGGACTCGCATTGTGACGATCGCATTGAGGGTTTCGGTTCCAAAGCGGATGGTCGTCCTGTTGTGATGCCGGTCAAGTCCGAGCACATCTATCGATATTCCGAATTGGGAACACGGGGACAAGCACCGCTTCAGTGAGTTCTCCAATTCTTTTAACCAGGGGGCAAAGCACACTATCGTTTGCTTTGCCCGCTGGCTGGTTCGGAGACCAGCTGATGGGTTGGGATTGGGTTGGATCGGATGATCAATGGTGGTAGGGTTTTTAGATATTTTGTTTAACCACAGAGTTGCATATTCGCAAGCATTCCCCTGAGACACAATATGCCTTGGACATCATCGAAGGCCATAAGCTCATCGACAAACTTCAGTGAGTCGAAAAAACCATGAATCGAATTTTTGAGAACCTCAGAAGCAAAAATCAAAGACAAATCGACGAGTTGAGGGACGAGAAGAGCGAGCTTCACGAAGAATTGTCAGCTTCCTCATGCTGATGTCCATTGATGTTCAACACGTTTATCTAATAGTCTATTCAGGAGCGACGAGAGACCAAAATACTTGCAGCTTCAGGCGGAATTGGAAAAACTTTTTACCTGAGATTTTGAACAAACAATTCAGAAATAAAGTAAAAGATAATGTGCAGTTGTGTCTTTTTAGAAGATTGAATAAAATCGGATTTATTGGTATTTGTCCACAGAAAGGAACACAAAGCATTTCTCAGAATTGAGCGCTCCTTTAGCAGATAAAACGATACTGATCGGTAGGATGATTGACCCTCCATTTCCCATCGTAGCTCGGAAGCTGAAATGTGTGCATTTCTGATGGAAATCCTTTGATAAAACACTTTGCTTTATTTCAAATCGATTGATCAAAAGATTTGCGATTAATTATGCATTGGAAATTGGAATAAATGTCGATGATTTCATCCTGAAAATCTCACCGCAGCGTGGGTGTCCGAATCCGGCTCTGCCGATCTCCAATTCGTGAAATCCACCGAACTTGCATCCGTCCATTCGAAAGCATTTCCCTTGTTCGGATTCGAAAGCCAGCTTTTCTGCATAAAGAAATTTTTATGTTTAGACATTGATATTCCGATGCGATTTTCCTTTCTTATTATTGAAATCATTCTAGTTTCCCAATCGAAACCATTATTTCTATCAAAGAACTATCAGTCAAACGAATCTTTTTTTACAAAGTGCGTTCCAAAATGGCTGAAAAAATCGAAAGAATTAAGTTTAATATATTCATTTATGTCTTTCCATAAGAAAAATTCAACCTTCAGTCCGATCCAGAACCAATCATTCCAAATAACAGTTTTCGCTAAAATAAATATTGTTTTTGGTTTGTAAGGCAGAAATTCCTATGAAAATCATGAATTTTCAGAATTGAATCATTTCGATTTCTTACCGAGTTTCTGAACAAAATCGTTCTCTTCCTGACTGTGAATTGAGACTAAATGGCTCTTTCGACTCGCACAATATGCCTCGGCCTCATCAAATGAAATTGTTTGATCGATAGCCTTGAGATGAAGATAATCCTGGTTCACAACAGCCACCAAACCTTGTACCAAGAAGCGGTTTCTTCCAAATACAACCAGCCATCCAGACCCAAGAAAGTCGTCGTTCGATTCCTGAATTTCTTCGAAAATCTTTACTCCAGGTTTTTTTGAAACAAATACTCCCTCCTTTTCGATCAAACGAACTCACAAATCTGCCCTCAACTTCGCGATTTCGGCCGTTTGGTTTTCCCTTTCAGATTGTCTCAAGAGGAATTGATTGGATTGAGTGGAATAGGTGTTTGGGAAATGCAAAAACTGTTTTCTGAAGTCTCAGTCGACAAGAGATGCCAAATGAACTCACATTTGAGCCCTCAATTCGGTGATTTTCGTTGCTCTAAAAGGAGTTTTGTTAGTGAACAATTTGTCCTAACAAAGAACAACCAGAGAGAGAAGAAGACTCACAACTCGGCCTTTAGCTCCATGCTTTCGGACCTCAATTTCCTCTCGACCTCGGCATTTTCTTCTCTTGTTTCGTTCAACTCCCTCTCGCTGAACAACTCTAGCCAGTCAGATTCTAATAGTTTTCAACGTACAAATCGGCCTTCAACGCGGAAAGGGTCCTTGACATTTCGGCGACTTTGGAATCTCTAGAGGTGTCTCATTCTCAGATATTTCTTTAAGGGATCTCAAGACTCACATCTCGGCTTTCAAATCAGCACCAATCTTCGTCGGTCGTTCGCAGAGTTCGCAGATTTTTCCTCGAGCCTCGACGAGTTTTTGTTGGGTTTTACTCCTGAAAAGTCTTGTCATTGGGAAACTCAAGCCTATTTCTTGTTTATTCTACCAAATTCGCTTTATTGGTTTGCTTTTCTCGAAAAAAACCCACAAATTTCTTTGACAAGACCTCAAATTGATGGGATAGACGGTATAACTTGACGACGAACCTTCATCACTACTGCTGAAATCTGCGATCATCGAAAATCCCTTTCTGACCACCTTTGACCAAGAAATTCGATGGAAAAGAAGGAAAATCGTGATGAATAGACCGACGGCCATCACACCCATTCCGATCGATTGGTGAATTCGTTTTGAATTCAAGGAAATGGGAAGAATGAATGGAGCGACGATGCCAAAGTGCCAAAGTGAAAGTTTTGACGGCCCAAAGGGCAGGAATAACTGTTTTGACAAGCCGGAATAGATGTTTGAGAACGGAATTTTGAGCATTTAAAAGTCGCTTTCTGAGGTCATTACAAACAGACAGACAGTTATTTTTAGATTCACAATACTACTAGTTTTTGTGGAGGCTTTATAATTGCTTGCTTTTGGTGTGAAAAGGAAGATAAGAATCTAATAAATCGAATCTATCACCTTACATCTTTCGATTTTGCGATGTCACCGAGTTAAAGGCTTCGAAAAAAAGGGATTTCCGGGGTTCTCCGTTGTAAATGACGCTTTTTCCACTAAAAAACGATTTTTCAAAAAATCTGTCAGGAGAATTTGGAAAATTTTTCCTGTTTTAAAATGAGTACATTTTTCTGTGTAGAATGACACATCTTTCATCAAAATTCATCAAAAAACGCAAATTGCACCGATGTGTGTAAGACCTGAATCACTGTTTTGACGGCCCCAAGGGCAGGAATGAATTTTCTGAAAGACCCGAAGGACTGGAATGAAAATTTTTGAAGGCCAGAAGGGCCTGAGTGTAACCGTGGACTTTTCTGAACTGTCTGAAAGGCCTAATGAGAGATTTGTACGGTCCAAAGGGCCGAACTATGTTTATTTTCCAACCCATCAGCGCAAATACTTTCACGAGTCCCCCAATTAGACAGCGGGCAAAGCGAACGATCGTGAGCGAACAAAACCGGACGTGGAGCTAGCGAGATCACGACAAGAGTCTCCGAATTGGAGACCAGGTTGGAAGCCGATTTGTGAGTGTTTGGAATGGCGTTAATTGGATGGAATCACCAGAGACGATAGAGACGAGGGATCCAAAAATCCCCAATTTTCCATGAATGAAATGAAGGACTTGCGTCGAAGATGGGAAGAGGTCAAAATGGAGAATACTGCTTTTGAATCGATGGATGGAAGTTCGGTGGATTTCACGAATTGGGACGTTGGAGAGCCGGATTCGAACACCCACGGTTTTGTGAGATTTTCAACGTGAAATCATCAATATTTCTTGTAATTTCCAATGCATAGTTAATCCTAAAATATCTGGGTCAATCTTAGGATCTTCAATCTTTGTGTAGAATAACGCAAAGTGTTTTATCAAAGTATTTCCATCAGAAATGAACACATTTCAGCTTTGGGGCTAGGAAATGAGAGGGAAATGGCAGGTCTTTTCTCCTACCGATCAGTTTCGTTTTATTTGCAAAAGGAGCTCTCAGTTCTGAGAAATGCTTTATCTTCCTATCTATGGACAAAAACCAATAAATCCAATCTGATTCATTCTTCTGAAAACACACAACTGCGGATTGTTTTTTTCTAGAATAGAATAACGGCATAGATCGAAAGCTCGGCGTTCTGTGATTCGATCGGGCGGCGATTAATTTGTTATCATTTTGTGGAATGGCTCTGAACACTGAATCTGTTTGACTGATCATGTTTGTTCTGGTGAATTTCGCGAATAATTTAGTACTAATTCCATGTCACCATCCTTGTATCAGGACTGTAATACTTTTTTGACGACTTTTTTTTTGTAAGACTTGAAGGGAAGCAAGACTTTTTTCAAAGTTAGGATTAAAAATTGAATACTCGTTTACATTAGGTCGGTGATATTCACAAATTGATTGACTTACTATCTTAAATGGAAATTTTGGAAGCTATGACTAGTGGTGTCGACAACTTACGTTGATTGAGTGTTGATATGTTCTCGTTGATTGAGCATTGATATGTTCTCGATCGTGTTTCATTTTTGTTTTGGGTCAGAATAGAGTCACGTTTTTTGCCCCAATTTATTCTAATCATAAAGCATTTCCTTTCACCTTCCAGAAAATTTTGGAGGCTATGATTAGTGGTGCTGACAACTTACTTTGGCCTTAGCATTGATATGTTCTCGATTGCGTTTCATTTTTGTTTTGGGTCAGAATGCAGTCACGATTTGTCCCAAATTTATTCTCATCATAAAGCATTAACTTCCACCCAATTGATATCGATCCATACATTCGAAACCGAAGCCATAATACGAGCAGAGTGTTTCTCCATCAGCTGACCAAGTCACGTCTTTCCTTGCACAAACTGCTTGAAAGTACTGAGTACACGTGCCCCAGTTGCCAGCTTTTTGCTGCTAAAATAATTTCCTGATAAAGAAGAAAAAAAACTAGAGCTGTTTATGCAAATCTTATTGTTCCCAATCCTTTCTGAAAGTTGAGATTAGCTTGAATTAACTTTTGGATTTCTTTGAGACAAAATACCTACAACACAACACTTCTGCACATTAGCTAAAGGAGTTTTCGATTTGCAAGCCCATGTGCATTCGGAGATATGACGAAAGTGGCGAATGCCTGATGGTTCCACGCAAAGTGAGGGAGCTAGAGTTGGGAAATGTTTTACATGGATAAAATGACAAGTCTGAAACTGACTACTGAAGCCGAATGAGAACAAAATTTATCAGAAAAAGTTCAACACTCACCAACGAGCATCAGAAGAGTTGTCCAGAAAAGTGTTTGCATTCTCATTGAGTGTAAGCAACTTTTTGGTCGAGCAGTCATTTTATAGAGGTCATTCGCCTAGTTTGATCTCGTGAATTGGTCAATTTGTCATTGAATGCCAAGTCTATTCATTTTATTGTGAAGCTAGAATTGGAATGACCGTGCTAGGCTTTTAGAGCAAGCTTTGGTCAAACTGTTATTGAAAACTCACTAAATCCAATAAAGAGATCAAATGATGCATTTTTGTTGGTCTTTCACCGCCCACACGACGAATTTTTGCTAACTTTCAAATGCTAACTTTGGGTTTGTAAAATAGATGTGATTGAAGATTTGAAGAAGGCAAACTTTCTTTGGTAAAACAAATTCGAAATAGTGGAACGGGTAAATGGACGAGAAACCATTTCAAAACATTTCAAAAAGAAAGATTCCCTATCTCCACACCCAGATTCCTTGTCATTCCTTCATTCCACAAAATTTGAATCTTTATATGGACAATTTTCTTTTTAAAACTTTCATTCAATTTATTCCTCACCACAATTTTTTATTTTACAGTTTTACAATGCGACTTCTCATCCTGTTTTTTGCCCTTTTTGCTCTTTTTGGCCTAAACGAGGCGCTGATAAACCAGTAAGTTTTGAAAGTTAACATTTTAGAGTTTTTGAAAAATTATTATTTTCCAAAATTAAATTCAGCTCACTTTTCGCACCAGAAAAATGATGGGAGTGGGACAAATGCGGCCTTTTTTTTGCCCACCCGGACATTTGCGCACCTTTTTTCCGCACCTTGCCCATTAGCGCACCTTTTTTCGCGTTTTAAAAAAGCTCTAAAAAGCTAATATTAACCAATTTCTATTCCAAATGTTGTTTTTCTAAATAATTTGAGGGTGTAGAATTCAAATTTGGACATAACAGAGCGTGTGGAACCAATTTGAAAGACAGATCAAATTACAGAAAATTGTTGATTTTCCTCTTTGTATAACTCCGTCTGTTTGGTTCCACACGCTTTGTTATGTCCAAATTTGAATTCTACACCCTCAAATTATTTAGAAAAACAACATTTGGAATAGAAATTGGTTAATAATAGCTTTTTAGAGCTTTTTTAAAACGCGAAAAAAGGTCCGCTAATGGGCAAGGTGCGGAAAAAAAGGTCGCATTTGTCCCACTCCCAAAATGATTCCTTATGAGGTAAAGCTAGCATCAATGACTCTATAATCTCTATTTATTGGTGTTGGTGTTATCTTATTCATTTGCCGTTCTTATAACTTTATTCCTGTTACTGGTCAATCGGTCTCAGGTTGCGAGATAATCATTGTTGATATATTCGCTCATTCAGACTCCTCCTCGCGTATTTTTATTGTTTATCGTTCCCCACATGTTAACAACCAGGGCTCTTTCCATCTATTTACATTTCTTGAAGATTACTTGCTACCAGATCATCCAAATTCCCTTCTTCGCGATTTTAATTTTCCTTTAACTGTTTCTCCAGGACTTTTACCTAATTTATCGCGCTTTCCACATTTAGAAAATTTCCTGTCGGCCAACAGCTTAGAAATTTTAAACAAATTCCCTACTTTCAGGAAAAGTTCGCATATTTTAGACCTAGTTTTAACCGATTCCCCTCATTTAATTTCAGCTATTTCACCATGTCCTCCCATTGGTGGTGCCGACCATTTTTCTATGTCTTTTAATTTAATTCTGCATCATTTTACCTCTCTGAAAGGACCGGATGATGGTAACCGTGCCTTTTGGAGAGGTAATTTCGGTGCTGTCTGTCTTTCTTTAGCGCTCTACAATGCAAGGTTTTTCCCCGGCTAGAGATGGACGTCAACGAGTGTTATGCCGACTTCTTTCAAGAGATGAAATCGCTGTTGGACGAAAATGTACCTATTTCAACCAGGTCTACCTTTTCTTACCCCAGTCACATATCTCGAGCTAGGCAAAGGTTAGAAACAGCTTGGCGTTATCACGATTCCCTCCATTACGCATATCTAGAAAACAAGCTAACTAAGTTCGTGAAGAAATTCGAGGCCAATATTGGACGGAAATCCGTTTTTAGTCCTACTCCCAAAGCTTTTTACTCATACGTCTATTCTAAGATTAACCCAAACCACGAGTCCTCTATTAAATGCATATTTGACCCCCTTCGCAACTCGTTGATTTTCGAAAATCACAAAATTCACTCATTCCAAATCACTAATTCCTTTGCTCAATATTTCTCCAGCGTTTTTGTAGTTGACGATGGTAGTTGCATCCCTGCTCTTCCCGCCCCAGCACATACTTGCGCAGCCCTAATCGTCACACCAAGACTTGTCGAAACAGCAATTAGTAAGCTTAGCAATAAGATTTCTTGCACCCCAGACGGAATACCCTCTTTTGTTATACGGAAAACTAAGTTTCAAATATCACCACTACTTGCTAAACTTTTTAATCAGTCACTTCTAACGGATAAGATCCCTAGATTTTGGAAAGACTCAACAATTTCGCCACTTTATAAGAAAGGAGATCGGAACGCGCTTGCAAATTATAGACCTTCTACATAAACCAAACCTCTGTCAGTTTCGCGCCACATTCTTCCAGAAAAGCAATACACACTTTCACTGAATCTTCCTTTGGTGTTTGAAGCACCAAAAGCATGATCTCAAGAGGAAGCAACTCGTGAGCCTGAATATGCATCGATTCATATTCAAAGAAAAACAGCATAACACTTGTTGATTGATCAAATGTGCGAGAAACTTACTGACATTCACCGTCGTTTCGACGAAAATATCGCTTGAACTGCACAGTCAAACGCCTAAATACATAATTCCCAAAGCGTAAAACTGTGAAACATACTTAACATACTATACTTGTTGATTGATCACCGTTGTTGCTTTGTCGTTCCGACGAAAAGATCGCTTGAATTGCACAATCAAACGCCTAAAACTGTGAAACATACTTAAGTTGACACTTTCACCAATAACAAGAAACTTGGAATTAATCACTCCAAGAAACCAGCGTATACATGTGAAAATGTTGGAGAAAAGGCTTGTGCTTGAATTATCGATCGAGTCAGTAAACCCCTAAAATTTTGTTCACTTGAGAAAGTGCTAAAAAAACAAACTTTCCACGAATGATGTTTTCTTGAAGAAGCTCTCGCACAATTCCGACAAGATTGCTGGCGTTGACTTTATTGACGAGACCGTGGATTTTATTGACGAGACTTTTTCTTCAGACGCTCCCAATTCTATCGCGGAAATTGCTCACCCGATTTATCCTCAATTTTTTCCGTGGCCACGTTATCATTTGATGCATTACCTGGATTTGTTCCTGCATCAACTTCAACTTGGCTGGTGGGATGTAAGTGCGAGAACGCAATAAATCAACAGGCTCTTTCTTTTCCTAAAATGTATTTACTTCAACAAAGTTTTCTTGCATACTTTTTGAGGAGCTTCATTTTCTTTTGCCTTTTCTGGTGATTCTTCACGTCGAGCATGTTTTCGCGTTAGCGACCTAAATCACTAATACTGAATGCAACCCAGGTTAAACTAACCGTTACCGCCGTTCAGGACTGGCATCACGCTTTGGTGATCGAGATCTAAATAATTTTCATGAAAAAAGATGCAAAGCTCTATTACCGTCTTCGCCTTTCTGGAGAAGCTTTACGCTTAGGGGATGGTGACCTAAATCAGCTGTAAACCAAGACAATCTTTAAATCTAACCGTCTTCGCCTTTTCGGTGAGCAGTCGCCACCTCTGCGTCTTTCTGGTGAACATTCATGGCCTTTTTTCCGAGCTCTGGCTCTGGCGACTTTTCGTTACTAAAGAAATTTGGCTTTCGCTATCAAAAGCTTTTAATCAACCAACCTGCCAATGTACGGTTTTTAAGCAGGCCGAATTGATTTTTATCAATTAGTTTATGTTCACTTAGATAATGAATAATGTGGTCGCGAATAATTATTTCTAAGACTTTACAAATGGAGGAGGTGAGCGCGACGGGTCTACAATTTGTTCCGATCTCCTTTCTTATAAAGTGGCGAAATTGTTGAGTCTTTCCAAAATCTAGGGATCTTAGCCGTTAGAAGTGACTGATTAAAAAGTTTAGCAAGTAGTGGTGATATTTGAAACTTAGTTTTCCGTATAACAAAAGAGGGTATTCCGTCTGGGGTGCAAGAAATCTTATTGCTAAGCTTACTAATTGCTGTTTCGACAAGTCTTGGTGTGACGATTAGGGCTGCGCAAGTATGTGCTGGGGCGGGAAGAGCAGGGATGCAACTACCATCGTCAACTACAAAAACGCTGGAGAAATATTGAGCAAAGGAATTAGTGATTTGGAATGAGTGAATTTTGTGATTTTCGAAAATCAACGAGTTGCGAAGGGGGTCAAATATGCATTTAATAGAGGAATCGTGGTTTGGGTTAATCTTAGAATAGACGTATGAGTAAAAAGCTTTGGGAGTAGGACTAAAAACGGATTTCCGTCCAATATTGGCCTCGAATTTCTTCACGAACTTAGTTAGCTTGTTTTCTAGATATGCGTAATGGAGGGAATCGTGATAACGCCAAGCTGTTTCTAACCTTTGCCTAGCTCGAGATATGTGACTGGGGTAAGAAAAGGTAGACCTGGTTGAAATAGGTACATTTTCGTCCAACAGCGATTTCATCTCTTGAAAGAAGTCGGCATAACACTCGTTGACGTCCATCTCTAGCCGGGGAAAAACCTTGCATTGTAGAGCGCTAAAGAAAGACAGACAGCACCGAAATTACCTCTCCAAAAGGCACGGTTACCATCATCCGGTCCTTTCAGAGAGGTAAAATGATGCAGAATTAAATTAAAAGACATAGAAAAATGGTCGGCACCACCAATGGGAGGACATGGTGAAATAGCTGAAATTAAATGAGGGGAATCGGTTAAAACTAGGTCTAAAATATGCGAACTTTTCCTGAAAGTAGGGAATTTGTTTAAAATTTCTAAGCTGTTGGCCGACAGGAAATTTTCTAAATGTGGAAAGCGCGATAAATTAGGTAAAAGTCCTGGAGAAACAGTTAAAGGAAAATTAAAATCGCGAAGAAGGGAATTTGGATGATCTGGTAGCAAGTAATCTTCAAGAAATGTAAATAGATGGAAAGAGCCCTGGTTGTTAACATGTGGGGGACGATAAAGATAAAGATACGCGAGGGGGAATCTGAATGAGTGGGATATATCTTCGCTGGTGGGATATATCAAGAAAACAGTATCCGTGGAAAGTTTGTTTTTTAGCATTTTTTATCATTGAAGTTGATGCAAGAACAAATCCAGGTAATGCATCAAATGATAACGTAGCCACAGAAAAAATTTAGGATAAATCGGGTGAGCAACTGCAACGATAGAATTGGGAGCGTCCGAAGAAAAAGATCCACGGTCTCATCAATGAAGTCAACGCCAGCAATCTTGTCGGAATTGTGCGAGAGCTTCATCAAGAAAACAGTATCCGTGGAAAGTTTGTTTTTTAGCATTTTCTCAAGTAAACAAAATTTTTGGGGTTTCCTGACCGGATCGATGATTCAAACACAAGCCTTTTCTCCAACATTTCCACATATATACGCTGGTTTGGTTGGCGTGATTGATTCCAAGTTTCCTGTTATTGATGAATTGACACTTAAGTATGTTTCACAGTTTTAGGCTTTAGAAATTATGTATTTAGGCGTTTGATTGTGCAGTTCAAGCGATCTTCTCGTCGAAACTACAAAGTAACAACGGTGACTGTCAGTAAATTTCTCGCACACTTGATGAATCAACAAGTGGTATGCGGTTTTTCTTTCAATATGAATTCGATGCATATTTAGGCTCACGAGTTGCTTGCTCTTGAGATTATGCTTTTGATGCTTAAAACACCAACGGCAGATTCAGTGGAAGTGTGTATTGCTTTTCTGAAAGAATGTGGGGCGAAACTGACAGAGGTTTTCTTTATTTAGAAACGCTTATTGAAAATGATTTGTTAGATTGCCCCGCGTGCCTGGGACAATGTTTTGTCAAGACTTCGAAACATTCTTGCTGAAGCACAATTGGATTCACGTATTCGTTATATGATTGAAATCGAAATGGCAACTCGGAGAGATTTGCGGTCAGCTTTTGGTTCTATTGCCTGGCAAAGTTTAATCTTTAAGGAATACCCAGCTTTAATTGATGAGCTCGGTCTTATTTCGGAAGAGGACCAAATTACACATACCCTTTCCCTTCAAGATGCTAAATCTGACTCCGAATCAAGCACTGAATCCTCTTCATCATCATCCTGCGATGACATCGACAGCGGCAGTGAATCTGATACTACTTCTTCAAGCTCGTCAGATTCGGATTCAAGTGATGATTGATTTTTTATACTTTTAGAAGCAAAGCGAGGCGTGAAAACAGTCATCATTGGCTTCTTTTAGAAAGTGTCCAGCCTAGATTTATCAGAACGGTATTAAGGGAGCACAATTTTGTTTAGAATTCTTCAAGATTGCTGCGTGATTCCTCAAGGTTGAAAGGCCAATTATTTTTTAATTTCCTTGGAAATGGAAAAGTTCTTGGAGCAGAGGAAAGCCACCGATCTCAACACAAATGCTTGTTGCTCCGAAAATGGGACAGAATCTGTATCGAAAGTTCTGGGGAATCGATCGAAATCATTTGATAATCTCTTTCGAGAAGCACAACAAATACGGACGCTTGAAGAATCAATTCCTGTTCTCAACGAACACCATTACGGCTCATCCTTCCAAAAAAAATCGTCACATTGAGCCGTTTCAAACTCAAATTCCCTGTCATTTGTAAGTCGTTATTTTTTTTGTAAATCGGGCATTCCCCTCCTTTCTCATTATTTTCCGTGGTAAGAAGTCCCTATTTTGCTGGTTTGATTTTGTCTTTTCTCATCAATTCTGCCTCTTTGGTAGCTGTTTCCTTTAATTTTCATATGTTCTTCGAGAAAATTCAGTCATTCTGTAGGCATTCAATCGTCTAGCAACCGAAATGGACAATCTCTCGAATCTTCCTCCTCGAGGTCTTCAGAGCATCTCTTCTTTTTCCAAATCTGCAGAAATGCCCGAAATGACTAAAGAATTGCCTGAAAAGAGTGTCAAACGCATAGAAGAACCGGCCATCTCGTTGAAAGAAATCGCTCAACTCGAAGCCGATTTGTGGGTTGTTCGCCGAATCTTTGCTGCTATCCAAAACAGTCTTTAATTTAATCGAAGAGTTTAGGGAAGAAATCAAAAAGGACAAAGACGTCGAGATGCGCCAATTGGCAGCAAACATGGTTCAAATCGAGGCGAATTTGAAAATCACGGAGTTGGAGGCCGATTTGGTTGACGAAAGGGAGAGAAATCGAGAATTGGAAAGGAAAATCGCCGAGACGAACAGGAAGAACGACGATCTCGAGGCACAATTGTACTGACTTTGTAATTTCCTTTTAGACAGGCTCTATATATATAGTTAAAATGCGAACTTTTTTCAGAAGAACTCAAAATACGGAAGTGAGGGAAGGAAAGACCAAGATTGGAGAGCTCGACGGCAAAATCAACGCGTTGCAGAGCAAAAACTCTGGCCTCGAAACCCAAATGTGAGTTCATTTGGTATATCTTGTTGACTGAGAGTTGAGAAAAGGGTTTTCTTATTCCCAAAACACCCATTCCACTCAAGTCATCAATTCCTCTCTAGACAAATTGAAAAAGAAAACAAAACGGCCGAAATTGCGAAGTTGCATGCAGATTTGTGAGTTTTTTTAAGAAAAAGGATTGAGTATTTGTTTACAAA